CCTGGACCTGTCTGATCTAAAGAGGGATACTCTTCCAAGGGCTGAACCAGATGTACACTTCCAGTGACACCAGGGAATAACTATTATACACTGCACTGTATCAAGTGTGGTTCTGGTGAGTGGGCATTTCTTACATTCCGTATTGAGGAACATCCACTGATCGGGAATAACTGAGGACTATTGATTTAAGCGCTGCACTATTTCTTTCATTCATGACAGCTTGCCTACTGTTGACATGCTTTGGGCTAATCACAGGATCATTATAGGAAGTACAGTAAGTGCAGCTGTTATGAATGAGCTAATGCTTTAGATTTCTTTTTTTGACACTGTACCTTTTTATTTTTTATTTGAACTTTATTCATATGAACAACATCCCTTTGTATGGGCCATGACAGGTCCTCTTTTTGGAGAGATCTGGGGTCAATTAGACCCCAAATCTCTCCTCTGCCCTCCGAAGCAGCTGATCAAGCTTGAGATCAGGTTGATTGGCCACTTTACAAGCTGATAGCAGCTAGAAACTGGAAGTGGCAAAAACCTTCGCTTCTGGTTCCCCATCACAAAGGGGGAGGAACAACATAAGTTCCTCTCACTCAATCTATGGCATCTGATGCAACAGGTCACATTGGTACCGGGCTCTTTGGTGGGACTGGAGACTCCAGTAAAGGCGATAAAAGGTGGGGGTGGGGGGGACCACCTGTAAGAGTAATTAGGCAACTATATAGCCGCTCTGATTATTTTTACATTGCTGGCTATAAAAAATGTCTGGATCATAGCTTCAGACATGACCCCAGATGTCACTGCTTCCATCCAAAGATATACTATGCCCTAAGGGTGGGAAGCAGTTGAGGACCTGTGTCTACAGGATTTTGTTTTTGCATCAGACAGGTTTTGCGTTTCCATACAGGTCTATGGAAATGTAAAACTCCCTTGATAATAGTCCCTTGTTGGTGAATTTTGAATGAGCCGAAAAGTCCTCTCAACACAGGCCCTTTAAAAGAGAAGTTTGGGATACAACAAAAAACCAATCATACTCACCTAGTTGGATGCAAAATCAATCTGATGGTGCATATGTCACCTGCCGCCTCTAAAACTGAGAACTGAGCCATCAAAGACCGCTGATCGCTCAGTTCTTGGTCTTCAGTGAGCACAGTGAGCAGAGATCTGGCTTTCTACTCTGCCCCTCCAGCACTCACCCCCCCCCCCCCTTTGTTTGCCACTCTGTGCCAGTCATGCAGCTTCCCTCCCTGCGATGTACAGTGAAGGAAATAAGTATTTTAATCTCCTGCTGGTTTTGAATGTTTGCCCACTCACAAAGCAATGATCTGTCCAAAAATCGAATGGTAGGTGTATTGTAACACTGAGAGACAGAATAGCAACAAAAAATTTCAAAAGAAATGCATGTCTAACAAATTATGCACTGATTTGCATGTTCATGAGGGAAATACAGTAAGTATTTGATCCCCTATCATTCAGCAGGATTTCTGGCTACCAGGTATCTTTCATACAGGTAACAAGCTGTGATTAGAAGCAGTCCCTTAAAGGGAGTGCTGCTAATCTCATTTTGTTACCTGTAGAAATGACACCTGTCCACAGGAACAATCAACCAATCCGATTCCAAACTCTCCACCATGGCAAAGACCAAAGAGCTGTCCAAGGATGTCAGGGACAAGATTGTAGACCTACACAAGGCTGGACTGGGCTACCGAACTATCGCCAAACAGCTTGGTGAGAAGATGACAACAGTTGGTGCAATCATTCGCAAATGGAAGTAACGCAAAACAACTGTCAGTCTCCCTAGGTCTGGTGTACCATGCAAGATCTCACCTCGTGGAGTTTCAATGATCACGAAAACAGTGAGGAATCATCCCAGAACTACATGTGAGGATCTTGTCAATGATCTCCAGGCAGCTGGGACCACAGTCACCAAGAAAACAATTGGTAACACACTACGCCGACAAGGATTGAAATCCTGCAGTGCCCACAAGGTCCCTCTGCTCAAGAAAACACATGTCCAGGCCTGTCTGAAGTTTGCCACTGAACATCTAAAAGATGCAGAGGAGGACTGGTTGAAAGTGATGTGGTCAGATGAGACCAAAATTGAGCTCTTTGGCATCAACTCAACTCACTGTGTTTGGAGGAGGAGGAATGCTGCCTATGACCCCAAAAACACCATCCCAACTGTCATGGTGGTGGAAACATTCTGCTTTGGGGGTGTTTTTCTGCTAAGGGGACAGAACAACTGCACTGCATCAAAGGGACGATGGATGGGGCAATGTACCGTCAAATCTTGGGTGAGAACCTTCTTCCCTCAGCCAGGGCATTGAAAATGGGTCGTGGATGGGTGTTCCTGCATGACAATGACCCAAAACACACGGCCAAGGCAACAAAGGCGTGACTCAAGAAGAAGCACATTAAGGTCCTGGAGTGGCCTAGCCAGTCTCCAGACTTTAATCTGATTGAAAATCTGTGGAGGGAGCTGAAAGTTTGGTTGCCAAACGTGAGCCACCAAACCTTAATGACTTGGTGAGGATCTGCCAAGAGGAGTGGGCCAAAATCCCTGTTGAGATGTGTGCAAACCTGGTGGCCAACTACAGGAATCGTCTGACCTCTGTGATTGCCAACAAGGGATTTGCCACCAAATACTAAGTCATGTTTTGTGAAGGGGATCAAATACCTATTTCCCTCATGAACATGCAAATCAGTGCATAATTTGTTAGACATGCATTCCTTTTTAATTTTTTGTTGCTATTCTGTCTCTCAGTGTTACAATACACCTACCATTTGATTTTTAGACTGATCATTTCTTTGTGAGTGGGCAAACATTCAAAATCAGCAGGGGATCAAATACTTATTTCCTTCACTGTAAGTATTCCAGGAAGCTGCAGGACCAAGTACACATTCTGGCCTAGGCCAGAATGGCAATGGGAGTTGGGGGCAAAAATAAAACATTTTTAATAATGAAAACAAAAATTAAAAACTTTTCCAGCAATTCTGCTTGGGGGGAAGGGAGGGAGCGTTATAATTGAACTAACTCCCTTTTGGGAGTTAAGTACCACTTTAAATTTGGCTGTATTCTGATGACAAATGGTTTGGCAAATATGAAGTAGCAAAATGTTTTAATATCGAGCTGCTATTCAGTACAGAGGTGCCCAAGGCGGTGGTAAATGTTTCTTCAGGGTTCAAACAGCTTTGTATTCCATATGACAGGTCTTTTGTTCTTTTGTACCTTTTGCTCAATTGATTGCAATGTGTACATTTGGTGTGACTCATTCTTCTTCAATCATTTCTGTACATTCTTTTTGTAAGAAATGTCATTGTGCCACTACAGTCAGATCCCGATTGCTAAAACTGTCATTTATGTAGAAAATCTATGGGCTTATTTTTAAATCTGATACAGAAGAGCAAAAGCCGTATTCCACAGAACTTTAAAAATGAATAATGGAACAACAGATCTCATTGCACTACATTTTGTAGAATTGCATTGTTTATTCAAAAACCTGTGTATGATTCAAACCATCAGTCATAACCTTACTGCTATGGTTAAAAAATGAATGTTCTGAGTTATTTTGTAATTTACTTCTGAAATAATCTTATAATCCTATCTGTGGACTAAGAAACCTTGGAAATGTGGATACCATGGATTCCTGAACTAGTGTAGAATAGTTTGATAGTTGCAGAACAGCGTTGTATTGATTAAAAAAAACATGATCACAATGACTTATCCTGTAACTAAGTTGGCATTTAGCCAATGTCTCATGTCTTGTCTCCTGTCTTTGGTGAGTAACGTGATCGCTCAGCTGCATAAACACAGAAAGGTATCTTTTGAGTACCTATTAAATCTAGTGCCTTGTGATTGTTCATCTTAAATTCTTATTTTCTATAGAGTTAAACAGATTTCTGAGACCTGCATACTTATGTTTCAGCCTGGGTTTTCCCCTTTCATATCAAGGGGCCATTCACATTGCAGGGCAGTGTTTTATTGGATTGGACAAAAAATAATTTTAGGTTTGACAAACCTTCAAGCATTATCTATTTTCTGAAAGCAGATACCCTTGAGAACAAAATAGTGGTAGTTCTGATTTTTTTTAATTTGCCTATTACCACAAAGGTCTAGGTTTAGTAATACACTAAAGTTAATTTTGGGGCCCACGGACGCAATAAGATACCCAATTTATTGGTAATATATAAAAGATGAGGTTGGCCGAAGTAAATGGATATTCAACAAGTCAAACCTCAAATTTGCGTTTGCCCGTGAAATAGTGGCAAGCTTCAATATTCTATATTTTCCATAGTCGACACTTTAACAGCCCCCTATAGATCATCGGTTTAGCATTACGAAAGACGTACAATGTATGGACCTGGCAGCAAAAGGGTTAATGTGTCAGGCTGTACTGAATTGCACATGCTGGCAAACTAATAGAGAGCTTGCTATAAAAAGAATGCATTGGGATGACTCATGGGTGAGCTGCTGCTCCTTCACTCTTCAATCACAAACTAGTTCTGGGGGGGTAGGTAGATGGTGCTGCAAATTATGGAAGTGGGTGATAGCCTTCTGTTCACAATTATGTCACCAGTATGTCAATATGATCCCTGTGGATCATCTGATTGGCAGGTAGGCCTCCACTGGGCAAAATTCTGATCTGGAGATTAAAGCGCCACACATTAAGGCTATAATAAAGAAAGGAGTTTATTAATTCGGTGTAGAAGCCAATCTGCTTCAAGGGCCCAAAAACACCTTCTCATTCAGGGCTTAGAACAATATGGGGTTGACAGTCTGGAAATCCAGAGGTAACTGATTTTGCAACACATTGCTGTTCAGTCAGTAGTTTCCAGATCAGTGTTTTGTCAGTAGCGAAATAGAGCAGGTCCTTGAGCAAGCTTAATTGCTTTAACTGCTGTGGTCAAACATGGCTGAACAGAATTCTAAATCTGTACAAAAATATGTATTTCAAAAATGTTTTTAGCTTCTTGTGTATAGTTTTTCTTTAATCTTTAACTTCTGTTTCCAGGGCACTCGCACCACGATGTTGCTGAATCTACATCCCCTGGAGAACCTCAAGTCCTACATCAGCAGCCGGCCCCCTCTGGTGGTGTTTATGGTCAGTGTCAGTGGCATGGCCATAGCTTTCCTGACTCTTGGCTACTTCTTCAAAATGAAAGAGATCAAATCACCTGAAATGACAGAGGTATGGATGTCCAGGTGGAAGAACTTTTTTTTTTTTATTATTTGTGTAATAAAGACCACTGCAGCCTTAATGGGCTACTTTCAATAAAGTATATATACAGGAAAAGAACAATTAAAGTCTTAGATATAGAAGACTGTTGTCAGGTTTTATTGGTGCCTGTGTCCCTGTTAGGAGGACATGGACACCTTTTGCTTTTGTCCTGCTGACCAAGTTCAGTGTCACAGAATGTGATAGGAATTCCACAAAGGTTGGCAGTGAGGAAGTGAGGGTAAATCTTCCAATGTGGACACCTGCTCCAGCTCTTTAAGGGGAGAATATCCATCAATTTAAAGTTTTTGCTCACACTTAAAGTCCAGCAATACATTTTGGATGCCCATGGGATTTCTTTTTTATTAATATTTGAACGCCTGCTTTATGCCATTAGGACCTTGCAGTGCTCACCTGCTCCTCACACGCCTATGTCTGGTGTGATTATGAGCTGTGACGCTCATTATTCTCTTCATCTGTAATGTATTTGCTGCTCCCCCTTTGTTGTCCTATTGGGGTGGCATAGGCTATACTCTGACAGCTTTTGAGGACAGATACCCGTGGCTGTTACAACCTGAATGATTTTCAGAGCCAATTTTCTCTAGATACCCTGTCCGTAACGGCTTGTAAACATCAAACCAAAACCATTGGTGGCAAAATCCTCGTCCCTTCTGGTTTCTTAAATTACAGAGGGGAGGTGAGAGGCACCCTATAGAAGTGGTCTAGTGGCTAGATAGCTGCTTGGATTGCTTCTACGTGAAAGCCTATCACCAGCTGAAAATTGTGTTACCGGGATGATGCCTGCACCTGCTTCAACCTGAGGGAAGTTGAAATGGTTAATGTTGCGTCTTCGAGACAGGAAGTATAGGTAAATCTCCTTCACAGGATTCAGACAGCAAAAAAATAAACAGATTTTGACCCTTCTCTACTCGATCCATAATTGGCTATGGCTATAGTTTAATGTTTACAGACACACATCTTAATAACCAGATGGTCTCAGCAGGTCTCTCTGAAGGTAAATGGCCCTCTGAGTTACGGCAACTCAGGGCTGTATTGATTTTACAGCCTTCCTGTAAACCGTTTAAAATGTGAATGTAATTGCAGACAACACCCTATATACCAATGAAATGGCAGAACATATAAGCGACCAATGTAACTCACAATTTCTTTGGCTCTTTCTTTAGGTCATTTTGTAGCATTCTTTCAAGTCAGGCACTTGGTATACCTCCGTTGTGAAAGGTGTTATATGTCTTCATCTGAGGTCTGGGACTTCTTTTGGAAATTTGATCTGGAGGGTACAAGATTGAGTTTTTCAAGGTTTTGTTTATAACTGAAGTTAATTTTTAACTCCTTTTAATATACTGTTCAAAGTGGAACTGTCACTAAATTGTAAATTTTATATTATTAGGGTGCCAGTGAATAATGTGATTCCAAATTTATTATTTAAAGAAAAAAAAAAGTACTTCTTTCTAGCTATAGATAAATGGTTGTTGGTTCCCAGCTTCAAACTAGCCAGACTAGATTTCACAATCTATGGCTTTTAGTCATTACTACAGAGAGTCTGTTGTTTTTCTGTAGCACTGAAATAAGGACTTCTTACGTAATGAGCAAATATAGCTGGTCTCAGCTGCACATGTACAAATATTGCACGGAAACAAGTTCATTAAACCATTAACTCAGTTTAATATTTACAAAACTCAACTTCATGTCTCCTGTGCCATTTTTTGCCCCCAAATATTTAAAAAAGTTTTGTCAACCATGTTGTCATGTGACACTGCTCTCTGATGCTTTCATAAACAAAGACAGATTTTCTGCATCAAATGATATTATTCTAAGCCATGCTCTGCACAGTATTGTATTTTGTGGTAATCAATCATGTTTACATAACTTTCAGCTTTCATTTTTTTTTTACTGCAGGACTGGAATACCTTTCTCCTAAGATTTAATAATCTGGACTTTTGTATATCTGAAAATGAAACCTTGAAGCATATTCTTAATGATACCAGCCCACCAGAGAGTACAGTCACCACTGGCCAGGCTAGGTCATCCACACAGACCCCCCAGGCATTGGAAGATACCGGACCTATAAATATATCTGTAGCCATTACCCTGACTTTGGATCCTCTGAAACCTTTTGGAGGCTACTCTCGTAACATCACGCATCTCAGCTCAACCATTTTTGGTCATCAAATTGGACTTTCAGGTATCCATAATGTTGTGACCTGTTTAACCACTTCAGTACTGGACACTTTCACCCCCATCCTGCAAAGGCCAATTTTCAGCTTTCAGTGCTGTCACATGGCAATTACTGTACCCAAAATATTTTCTTCCTTTTTTTTGTGGTATCACTAATCACCGTTTTTTGTTTTGTTTTTCTTTGCTATATGAATGAAAAATACTGGTAATTTTGAGGGAAAAAAAATCTTTGTTTCTGTTATAAAACTGTTATAAAATTTTACAATTTTTTTTTCCATAAATTTAGGCCAAAATTTATTTTGCTAAATTTCTTTGGTGAAAATAACCCAAATTATTGTATATTATTTAGTCTGTGTGAAAGAGTCTACAACTATGGTATATATATATATTTGAAAATTGATCAGTCCTTATGTACTGTTTACCTATCCCATTTCTTGAGGCCTTAAAATGCCAGGACAGTACAAATGACCCCTTTTTGTAAAGTAGACAGTCCAAGGTATTTAGTAAGAGACATAAGTTTTTTGGCGGTGTCATTTTTTTTCACAGTGTTTTGGAAAGTGAAGAAATTAAATAAAATTTTGTTTTCCACAACTTTTTTTTACATGCTGTGACCAGAGCAGGGCAGTGTCACCATAGTGACACTGTACTACTCTTGGGAGGTGATCAGGATTTTTTTTTTTTTCCTTGCACTATGATTGCTTATATCAGTGATGATCACTGTTATAAGCAATCGTTTTTATGAATGGCATCCATTGTCCATTCATGTACAATTGTGGTAGCTTTGATTGGCCACAGCTATCACACAGTACAGGTGTGCTGTGATTTGCTCTGTGGCCAATCAGAGATCACAATAGTACACAATTATTGGCTGTGAATTAAAGCTGTTGTGTTCATTTGACATGATTGCTGTGATTGGTCACAGTGATCACATTGTAACGGGGCCATCCTGGTACAACAACCTGTCATCTGCCAATGTCCAGCCCTTGAATGGGAGGACATCATATGATGTCTGTCTGGAATAACAGTGCTCCCGTCCAGCTGTCTTTTCACTATAGGCTGGGCATGAGGTGGTTAAAAGAGAATTCTAGACTGCAGCAATACATAATGTGCATTTCCCATAAATGTGTAATTAGATAAAGTGTATTTTTTTTTTTTTTTTATTCTTGTTATCCCCTTTTAATGTGGAAGTTCTCAGGTTTTACCTATGTGCCAATAGAAAGCACCTAAAACATTTCAAGAGTAAGGGTTACATTAAACCGTTTGTTGCATGTAACCCGTTTTCCTTGGTACTGATGCTGGAGGGCTAGTTGTGCATACAAGCAAAGGATGAATTATCTTTTGGGTGAAGAAAGTGATCACAGACAAAGATCTGTATTTTTTTAATGTGTAGATTGGACGTGAAAAGTGCTTGGTCTTTGTGGGTATGTTTCGAACAGCTAATTGGGAACTGTGTTATGTTATTATTTGCAACTTGTATTTAGTGGACTATAAATTTAACAACACGAAACTGTTAAATAAAATATAAAATGTTTGCATTCAGTCCTGTAGAGCATTGCAACAGTGACCAATACATTGGCACATGCTGCTGCAGCCTCTTTCCCCAGCCTCAGGTCCATACAGAACTATGGATCTTCTGTTATGAGGCTGGAGGAAGTAAACCCTGGAACCCTGAGCTACAAGTGCAGTAACGCCCCATTTAGTGCTCCATTGAGATGTGCAAGTCTGTTTGCTGCAAGGGAGCATTTTATTACATTCACAGATCCCTGTGATGGAGCCACGCACAGTCATGCTGAATAAAAAAGAAAAACAATAAAAAGCATAAGAAGTTTGATGATAGTAGGTTGAGGAATGTCACCATGTTTCATGTTACACCCTAAATATGGATGTAACCTGAAACACGGTTACAAAGTTGAACTATACTTTTACAGTACTTTTTGGGAATGTTTCTGCAATCTGTACTGGATAGGAATGTTTAACCTAAACATATGTAATGTAACATGCACAAACTGCATTTTTTGCAAGTGCAACTGACAAAATGCTCTGATTTGATCGAAGAGATCATGTGTTGAAGCAGTGTATTAAATACATCGCTTGTCTCTGCTAGCTTTGTGACAGAGAATAGGAAGGCAGGTCAGTATAATGCAGATTGTTCCACAATGTATGGAGCGTTGTGTTAACATGTTGTGTTTTTTATTTTTTTATATATATATATATATATATATCATACACTAAAAGCCTTACTAACTTACTGACCCTCTAAGCAACTCATAGAGGTCAGATAGCAGTCTGAAGAAATACAATTTTAAACAAGCGTTCTTTTATCTAAGACTGGCCATACACATAGTTTTATTCCATTCAGCCTGTGGGCTGAATGAAAAAATCTAACACATTCATCTATCCATGTTACACAGAGCTGATGAAAGAATATCTAGCTGTTGTATTTTGACAGCTGGCTCCGCTAGCTGTGAAAATACCCAAACAATGCCAGTGTCTACTTAGATGCAGGTGCTGTTTGGCCAACAGTTTTCCACGCCCCTTCAATTTTTCAATCAAGGGATGTCAGGTGGAAGGCAGCTTACAGGGTCACCCACTTTCATTTTGGATAGAATAGGTAAGGTAATAGAAACTCTGTCAGGTATTTATTGCTGTCTGTGGTGACCATTGTCTCTGAGACAGAGAGTGATGGGAAATCCCAACATTTTGGAAGTGTCACCAGATCAAGAGGTGATGAAAAGTCTGCTAAAGGGGGACAAGTCTCTTAAATTAAAAAAATCATTCACTTTTTGGGGATTTCCTCTTGCATCTCCAACACAGGTCATGAAGGGAAATTTTTCCAACAGGACACAGCAAAAAATATCTTGAGAGGGGTTTACTATTTCCTACAGTATTTAACACACAAAAAAAGGTTTTGGCTTTATGTATGCTTTCAAGCAGAACTGCAGCCTATTCCCTCAGCACTTACCGTATTTTCCGGCGTATAAGACGACCCCCTACTTTTCCTGTTAAAATATAGTGTTTGGGCTATACTCGCCGTATGAGACTACCCCTCTTCCAGTGCACACCAGTGGGGGAAGAATCGTGCCCCATCATTGGTGTCAGTGGGAGGAATAGTGCCCCATCGTTGGTGGCAGGGGGAGGAATAATGCCCCATCATTGGTGTCAGTGGGAGGAATAGTGTCCCATCATTGGTATTAGTGGGAGGAATAGTGCCCCATCATTAGTATTAGTGGGAGGAATAGTGCCCCATCATTGGTATTAGTGGGAGGAATAGTGCCCCATCATTGGTATCAGTGGCAGGAAGCGCCCCATCATTGGTGTCAGTGGGAGGAATAGTGCCCCATCATTGGTGTCAGTGGGAGGAATAGTGTCCCAACATTGGTATCAGTGGCAGGAATAGCGCCCCATCATTGGTGTCAGTGGGAGGAATAGTGCCCCATCATTGGTGTCAGTGGGAGGAATAGTGTCCCAACATTGGTGTCAGTGGGAGGAATAGTGTCCCAACATTGGTGTCAGTGGGGGAAGGAATAGTGTCCCAACATTAGTGTCAGTGGGGGAAGGAATAGTGTTTCATCATTGGTGTCAGTGGGGGGTGGAATAGTGACCCATCGTTGTTGTCAGTGGGGGGGGGGAGGAAATAGCCCCATCGTTGGTGTCAGTGGGGGGGGGGGGGGGAGGAATAATGCCCCATCGTTGGTGTCAGTGGGGGGAGGAATAATGCCTCATCATTGGTATCAGTGACACCAATGATGGGGCACTATTCCTCCCACTGACACCAATGACACTTGCTGACCCCTGTTCCAGTATGGTGCTGCTGCAGCCAGCATATGTGGTTGCAGCAGCACCTCTGCACGGCACACTTACCGGCCGCTCCTTCACTCGATTTTCGCGGGGCCGCTCGGCTCCGCCTCCTCGCCGGTGATCGGCCGCCTGTGTGCCTTTCCTGAGCTACAGTTCTGGCGGCCAATCACCGGTGAGGAGGCGGAGCCGAGCAGTCGCGCGGACATCCAGTGGCCGAACTGAATGAAGGAGCAGCCGCGCTTCCTGAACTGGATCGTCGTGGGATCGGAGCCAGATAAGAAACAGCAGCCCCTGCCCCACCCCTGTACTTAGTGTCCCTTCCGTTGGAAGGGGGGGTGGGGCAGCGGTGGCACCACGCCGCCCCCCTAAAAAGTGTCAGCATGCCGTATACCGGCGTATAAGACGACCCCCGACTTTTGAGAAGATTTTCAACAGTAAAAAACGTCGTCTTATACGCCGGAAAATACGGTACCTCATTTCAACACATATCCCAAAAATCAAAGGATTATTCTTTATCTCAGGACCATGGGTGGAACCATACAATTAATTGCTTTACATCCATGATTTCCTTACGCTGCACTGATGATAGCCAAATAGCCTGAAACAGCTGTATGCAGTTTGGAATAAATGGCTCTATAATATTTAGGCTCTTTATTGCACTATAAACAGGGGATCTGGATGTACATCTGGCCAACATAATGTAAAGAACTTGTAAATAAAAGTACACTTTTCATTCTGCTTCCCTGTGTGAGAAGGGTGATAATAAGAAATTACCATTAGGTTGACTAGTTCACTGCTGGGGTTTACAGTGTACAGTTTGGAGCTATGCTCTAGCCTTTTGTGCTTAGAAGTCACTGAAGCCTAGATCCCCAGGTCAAAATTAGTAGCGTCAATATGCATTGATTAACTTGTCTAACTGCATGGCTATTTTGCCACCTAGCCACGTTTGCCATCTAACAAAGTCTCAATTTTAGCTTTCAAATATCATTTGTATCATATATTAATGTAACCTCAGCATAGTGCATTATGTTTATACAGGGATTTTGGGTGGTTTGTCATTTTTTAAATATGGATATTTTGCTTGCTGAGATTCTAGTGACCTCCAAATGATCAGAAGTGATTGACAGGGTTTAGTTTATGTAGAATGTATGTCATTTTCAGTTCCTGTTGGTTCTTCTGACCTTTTTTGCTTTTTTTTTTTCTCATTTTACTGAATTGTATGTTCCGCTTTTATTGCTCTCTGAAGCCTGTCTATTTATATCTCCCTTTTGCTTCCCTATCTAAGGCAGAGAATCCCACGAGGAAATGAATATAACATTCACTCTGCCGGCTGCCTGGAACTCTGATGAATGTATCCTCCACGGGCACTGTGAGCAGGTGGTATTTACTACTTGCATGACTGTGACGGCAGTGAGCAGCGTGTTCCCAGTCACTGTGTGAGCAGCTTATTTTTCATTAAAGTCGTTGTCGCAGCATGCTAATTATAGCCTATTAAAAAGAAGACATTAATGTATTGTCTTGTTTGTTTCAGACAACCACCTCACTGCATTCCCGAAACGTACAGCAATGCCACCCTGTGGTACAAAATCTTCACTACTGCTCGAGACTCTGGCACAAAATATGCACAGGATTACAACCCTTTCTGGTGTTATAAGGGAGCCATTGGGAAGGTTTACCATGCATTAAACCCTAAGCTTACAGTTATTGTTCCAGAGGTGAATACATGACTTTTATTCATTCATTTAGTATTCTATCCTTGCACTGTTTTACTTTTAATACCTAATCAGTGGCACAAAGCTTACCAGCTCCATGCACATGTACATTTTGTGGACTGATCAGATGTTGTTGCTAGTTTTTATAGATAGTCCAATTTATTAATCGTTCATTAGGGGATCATGAATTCAGAGACAACTTCAAGTGAGGCAAAATAACCTCTCACACTCTCCTCTGGGGATAAGAATCATCATTTTACTACTACTTTTTATTGAGTCGGATTCTGTCATCTGTGTCTTAGTGTTGGAACCTGGTACAACTTCGCTCTCAGGGTGTTATCGTTCCTGTGCTAAACAAGGAAAAGTTTCAAGGTTTTTTACTCAAACATGTTCATGGTTTCCAAGGCAAAAAGGGGCATATGTTCCATTCTGGATTGTAAACGCTCAGTGGCTTCATTTGAGTACAGCAATTACATATGAAATCCACCAGTTCAGTCAATCACTTTCTTTCAGTTACATGATTTCCTCAATCTGTGGTCGTCGAGTATGCCTTTTTGCATTCCCCATCTTCCAGCACGTCAACATAATCTGCGTTTTGCTGTGGGGATACAACACTTTGTTCACTGTTCCTTGCATATTCACCTGGGTTTTATCCCCAGTGTCTGCTCTGTTTTGATCACAGGGCATTCCCAATGTGAGGTCTCTGGACAAGGGAACAGCCAGTACAGTCTTTTTCAGTCAATGTTCAATAGACTCTCAAACTGTGTAGTTGGATCATGTATCTCCAGAAATCCATTCTGAAGCCAACTCATCTGGAGTATTTCAGTCTTCTCCTACATACTGCTCAGTCCAGGGGTTTTCCTTCCACTGGACAAGCTCCTGACTCTCTGTTCCCCATGTTTAGAAATGTAAATCCAGGAAATGTCTGATCCTCCTCTTCTGCATGATGGTTCTGGGTATGCTGGTAGCCTGTACCTTTGGTCTACAGGTAAGGAACATCGGATGTGGATCTCTTGGCATCCAGGTTCAACAACAAACAACTGAGCTAGTTTGTCTCCAGAGGCAAAGATCCTCTACCGGTGATATTGAATTGGTGACTCTGTAATCAGTACAACCTGATCAATGCTTCTCCTCTGAAGCTCCTTCCTTATCTGCTCCACAGGATCAAGAGGGAGTCTATCCAGGTGATTTTCATTGCACTAAGCTGGCCCAGGAAACTGCGGTACTCGGACCACATCAGACTCTTGGCAGACTCTTCGTGAGCGCTACTTGATTTTCAGGACCTCCTGTCCCAAGAACCGGCTTCCTGCTTCAGTCACTGGCCATGGCAGTTAGCTGTTAAAGCCCAGCCCAGAGAGAGAGGCCTAACTGACTCCAGTATTCATGTGCTGCTATAGGCTAGGAATTCCATCTCTCACAAGGTGCACCATCGTATGTACAAAGCATATTTGCTTAGTGCGAGAAGAGAGTTCTCATCCCAGGAAGTACTCTCTATTAGACTTTTGTTTTTTTGAACATTCTCCAATCCAGTCTGGACCATCGACTGGCCTTGAGTATCTCATTCTCTGATTAAGACCCCTGTTTAGGGAGCCCCCATACTTCTCCCTATATGCATTTCTATGACTCAGTGGGACCTCAGCCTGGTCCTGTGAACCCTTTAAAGACCCCCTTTCCAGTAGCACACACAAGGTGATCTGCCTTGTTGCTGTCACCTTTGTGAGGCATGCCTCTGAATTGGCAGCATTATCCTGTAATTAACTTTCTTTATTCTACATAGGTATAGGGTTGTCTTGAGACCTAGTGCTTTCCTTTTTTTCTTTAGGTGGTCTCTTCCTTTCATCCTTACAAGGATATCATACTTCCATACTTCTCTGTCCTACCCCAGACATCCTAGGACAGTGGTCGGCAAGCCGCGGCTCGCGAGCCACATGCGGCTCTTTACACGCTTTAATGCGGCTCTTGTGTGCCGGGCGCCCGCTCCCCTCCCTCCTCTCGGGTGGCAGGGACTCTGCAGCGTGATCCAAAAAAAAACAGCCAGGGCAGCGCGCTCAAATGCAATGATTGGCCAGTCTTGCTGCCACTCACATCCTGATAGCCAGTGATTGGCTGTCAGGATGTGTGTAGGCGGGGCAGCGTGACGAACGTGAGGGGAGCTAGGCTCCTCTCACAGTCTGCCCTGAAGACCGGAACGGCGCGGGAACACGGCGAGAGGAACGCGCGGAGCAAAGGTAAGTGAATTGACACGGGGGACTTGGCTTACTACTTACTACTACTATATGAAGGATGAATTACTATAGGGGGGATGAATTACTATGGTGGATGAATTACTATGGGGGATGAATTACTATGGGGGATGAATTACTATGGGGGATGAATTACTATAGGGGGGATGAATTACTATAGGGGGGATGAATTACTATAGGGGGGATGAATTACTATAGGGGGGATGAATTACTATAGGGGGGATGAATTACTATAGGGGGGATGAATTACTATATGGGGGATGAATTACTATGGGGGATGAATTACTATATGGGGGATGAATTACTATAAAAACTTATTGAAACTAAAAACAGTGTACCATCCTATGTATTTTCAGTTTTAAAAATGTGGCTCTCAAAATAAATTTCAATCGTGGTTTTGGCGAGATTTGGCTCAGTTGAAAAAAAAGGTTGCCCACCACTGTCCTAGGAGAACACCCTTCATTACTGGGATGCGGTAGGGGCTGTTTGTGTCTTTCTGTCATCTCATCTCTTAGAGACACTCATTCTCACACCTTGTTCTTTTTTGGGTTTACAACTTTGTTTTCTTTGCAGAACCACCCTTTGTACCCATCAGGGATATTCTTACAGCTTTGATCAGACGTATTTCCTACTTGTCCTGTTCTTGCAAGGGACATCCTGCTTCCAAGTCCACGATCACGAGATGGGTTACATCTGTGATCGTTAGAGCTCCTAAGAACTTACACACTCAAGGAAAACAAATCCACCCAATCAGTGAGAGTCCCCTGGGTATTTTGGAACCAGGCCTCAGTAACCTATCTGTGTAAGCCTGCCATCTAGTCCTCTATTCATAACTTCTCAAGGTTCTACCAAGTGGATGTCAAATCTTTGGCCGCAAGGTTCTTACAGCAACACTCTGAAGTTGAGTCCTTTTCTGATCGTTGTTGGCTTGTTGGTACATTTCTGTTTTCCCTTTTCATTCATTGCTTGGGGATGTCCTAGGGTCTATGGATACGTTGCCTGTGTCCTGTACTGTGTACAATTAGGATTAAGGCCATGAGGAATGCTAACTTTCTTGTACATTCTGTATTTTGGAGTGCAGTACAGGACACAGACCACCCTCCCTTCCATTCCTTGGTTACTCTGCATTGTTTGCTGAAAAATTGAGAACTCATGCAGTGGGATAGGATTGTAGGGGATGTGCCACAAAACTGCTGAATACTACCTAAATGAAACTGCTACCAGTATCAAATTCCCTTGTATGCAGCAATATAACGTATAGTTTTCTCTGAATATATATCCCTGTATCCCCTAATAATTGCAAAATTATGGTAAGTTGTCTTTTTTTTTTTTTTCTTTCATTCATAGTCTGATCTTTGCTCACAAAATATTCCAACATCCCTGTATATGCAGTGTGTGTGTGTATATAATAAATATACTTCAATAGTAATACTTGTCTTTAACTACTTCACTTCTCACACATGTACACCCCCTATGGACCGGAGCAAATTTACTTTTCTGCTGTGGACCTGTTTATACTGCAATAACAACATGATTACCTAAGATGACAAACTAATGTGGATTACGTTACCTTCTTTACATGATATTGTCCAGCAATTATTTTTTTTAATCCAATCCTTAGACAAAAAAGTAACAACTAAAAAAATCTTACTTTTTTGACCAGTGTTTAAAAACAAATGTTACTGCTGTGGAAAAAAATTACATTTTTAATTCTAAAATTTGTCTCGTCTTAAAATGATTCAAAATGTATGATTCTGGTACAAAACATTGCAAAGTTATTGTACAAAGCATAGTTTTTCCCCCCTTTTTTAAATGTGGCACTAAAACATTAACCAACAAAACAAATATGAAAAAAGTTTAAATATTTCATGGTTAATAAGAAAAAGGAGGAAAATAATAGTTGAAGAGGACGGAGGAGATAAATTGAATTTCGCCCCTCCACCCCTATCCCCCCAAAAAAAGTGTGTGTGCGTGCGTGCAAATTATTATTTCTTTTTTAATCTAGTAAAGTCCATTGTTTAAAAAAAAAACCTGGTGATCATGCCAATACTACTGGGTTCCTGTATTAAACTGGCCATGAGAGAAGCACATCCATGCTGCATTGGTCAGTTTGCATCCCTGTGTCCCCTGGTGGGAATTACAGGATGCTGTTTTGGACAAATTTTATTTGAAAACAATTGTTTTTGAACTTGTCAGGTTGCTTTAACTGACATCATCTGCAGAATGAAGCTCAATCCTACTCATTAATTTTTGAAATAGAGTAGATACAAAAGCAACAATATTACATTGTATCTTTTTATGTTGTGTCTGGATGATGTTGATGAAGTTGGTTCTTTTTGTGATATAGCTGCTGCGTTTACACAGCAACTACCAGCTTTATGTTAAAAGCTGATTAATTACTGGTAAGTGGGAAGGGATGGAGGCAGCAGCTGGATAGGACTGGACATGCTACACACATACTATGTACTTTGATTCTTTTGTGGTGACGTTTTGCACCTGCAGTGTTCTTAACTAGTTAATATTTATTTTTGATTAACATGGTACAGTGCAACTTTTCTTTTATATATTTAAATACACACACACCCCCACCCCCTACAAAAGTCAAAAGGAAGGGTGTGGGTGAAGTTTAAGCAAATGCAGTGGCACTCTTTTATTCCGCTTTGATACACCTTTATTGACCATACAGGTGTATTCAAATGAACTTCAGGACCTTTCAGTATGTTGGCTTCACATATATTTCAAGTGGTATAGTAAGAGACTTTAAATGACGGTGATTTCTTTTCTTTTCATTTTGGACTTCTCAATATGTGCTTTCTTTGTGATTATAGGATGACCGCTCCCTTATTAATCTACACCTGATGGACACCAGCTACTTCCTGTTTGTAATGGTCATCACTATGTTCTGCTATGCAGTCATCAGAGGTCGACCAAGCAAGATAAGGCAAAACAATGCAGACTTCTGCCAAGAGAAGGTAATTGCCAAATGAAAAATAATAAAACCTGTTTTTTTTTTTTAAAGTGGTTTAAGAGACAGCAAGTGTTAATACTTGGTAGGCAAAGGTGTCTAAACATGCTTATGTCTTTGTTAAATCATGTCCAAGAGCCCCAGGGCACTGAGGGCCTTATTCATCATGCAGCTCTATGGCCTTACTGTTTAAAAAAAACATTTAAGTTTGCATGGTTAGATTAGACAAGCTAATTTGCTTTTCCCTAACCCTTGCTATTAAGTAGCAAAGTGTGAGAGATGGGAAGTGGTCAGGAGTGCTAACAGCCATAAGTGCTTTTGTGCCTCAGTATTCAAGGTTTCTGGGGAGGTCTGCAAAAATTGTATAGATGCCCGTTATGTAGCATAAGGATCATTATTTTTCTCCATCATCCTTTGAGGGACACTGGAATTCAGGGTGTACTTGAGCCCCTTATACCCCATACCTTATATCCAACATGCCTACGTTTTTATGCTAGTGTCCTAAGTGGTTAGAGGTGTTTTCTTTGGCTCTGCTAAGAAAGGTTTAGCCATTTTGTTTTTCTTTCTGGCATTCTAGCTTTTTGATATATATGATATTCGTATACAAGTAGGATTTCCACATCGCTGCTTGAGCTGGTCTCTACATAGCAGCTATCCTAAAGGAGTATCCTCAGCAACAGCTTTGAAGTCTGTACCACCAACCCGCTGAACTGGATGATTGTGGGACCAGCCTGCAATGTGATTTTCGGGCACTGGGCACTGCATTGTGGTGCTTTCCAGACCTTTGTGTATTGTGTTAGTGGCAGAGCCCTCTCCAGAGTTGTGGCACAGCCTCAGCTGTAACCCAGCTAACTTACTGTTGCAGTGTTGGGCCCATTTTCTACCACTACTGATTTTACTGCAGTAAGGGTTAAGGCAGAGGGATCAAGCACTTATGTAATCTGATAGGTGGAGTCTTGCATGAGCGTGCTCTCCTTCATACCATTCCGAAGAACCATCCTGCTCCTGACACAACATGTGGATCATCCTGTTCCATTCCACTGCCTACATACAGTTACTTGATCACCTCTTTCTGTATGAGACCCTCATCAACACGAGCTTCCTAGGTTTGTAAGTACCTAACCTAAGGCCTTGCCTCTCATTGAGCCTAGTTGCTTTCCATTATGTGGTGCAACACGTCTTCTCAAATAAACACAGAAGACAGTATTGCTACTATGGTTAACCTCAGCCCATACTCGAATAGAGGTTCTGGGGCTGTTTACGTTGTATCTACAGGAGAAACTGATGCCTATGATCTAGAACAGGGGTCTCCAAACTATGGCCCTCCAGCTGCTGAAGTACTACAAGTCCCATCATGCCTCTGCCTCTTGCCTGTGGCTGTCAGATTCTTGCAAGACCTCGTGGGACTTGCAGTTTCTTAACACCTGGAGGGCCATATTTGGAGAATCCTGATCTAGAACCTGATACTCATTATAGGGTTGTCCTCATCAGTGTCTTATTAAGCTGTGGTCTCTCTTATGTCCACAAGGACTAGGATATATTCTTTGGACTTTCTGTCTATTTGTGCCCATTTACTGGTGCAATCTACTCGCAGAGGCTGTATGTGCACCCCAGCACCATCTCCAGCAGAGTCTGTCTCTGACCCTTCAGGGCTCTTGAATGAAACTGTGCCCGAGGCCCCTGTTATAATCTTTGATTCGGAGTCCCAACAGTCTATTCATAGAGCGGCTGTTTTGGTGCCACTTGCAGATGACCCAGATTTACAAAGTTTTGTAAAAACCTGATTGGTGCAGTGTGTTCTACCTTGCATCTAGAGGATCAGCATTGTATTCCATTCCTTCATCTGATGGTATATTCTTGTTTTGCCCCCCTTGTCTCTCGCTGGTTGAGGCCCATTGTTTCTTCGGGTTGAAGAGTCTCCTTTTGGCGGTGGTCTGTCCTGGTCTGGAGCACCAGTTCTCTCCCCTTAGCCATAGCAGTTCCTAACTCGCAAATGGTTTCACTTCATCTTGAGTTGATTCAGGCATTGGTCCTTCAGATTCCTCTGAAATACGGATAGTTCCCAAATTTGTTTGATTCTATCAGTAACTGTTGCCCACCTCTCAGTTGACAATATGTCTGCTTGATCAAAATAACTTGGAGTGTCTTGTGGATTCTGGCTTATGAGGGTTGGTGCACACAGCTTTTTCTGTTCGTTTCCCAACCTCCTGAAGGCAGCAGTATAACCTGATTTTTTCTGAACACCATGTTGACTCAAAGAAATAGATTTAAGTGAAGTAAAAAAAAAAATCTTTTTTTTTTTCTTTTTTTTTACTCATGTTTCAAGATTAAAAAATAAACCATTTTCTTTTATTTTTCAGGTTGCTCTTTCTGAAGCATAGCCATCCTTCCTGCACCATCCGATATGAACTGGAGTCATTGCCTGTTGACCCCACCAGGAGAATGTGTCCTTCTAAGGGGGAGGGAGGAACACACAACTTTGCAATGTTGGTTTCTTCCAACCAAAGACATTTCAAGTGCCTGTAATTGATTTGTACATATTTATAAATAGGTACATTTAAAGAGGCTTGGTGCAAATGTACTGCATCGCAGGAACTTGTGTTTTACTCCTTGTACCTGTGGACTAGCCGTTGTTTTCTCGTGTAGATATGTTTAGTGGCTGTGTATAGTGGGCAGTATGACTTGCCTGATTGATTCATATGTTTAATGAATGAGATCCTGATCTCAAGCAACTCTGCACTTATTTGTTTTTCAGTATCTAGCGAAATGATAAATTTGTTTGAATTAAAAGGATGAAATGTCATTGCTGCATGGAAAACACCTTTATTCTGTTAGCTGTATGTCTAAAAGCATCATTCTTCATAACACACCTGCTCTGGAGAGTCTGTAGATCCATTAAGTAATCAAATGTTGGTTTGAATGTGAAATCATAATCATTTACATATATAATGGGGCTTATTTGCAAAGCAACTATTTTGCATTCTAGTCATACTCGGAGTATCTTAACTGTTGACAATACAGTAGAGCAGAGCCACCTTCTCTTACTGTGGGACCCCACTACATCTATAGGAGGCACAGTCTTTTACCATTCTTAAGAATTACATTTAATTCTTTACATTATTCAAAAGACTCTGGAGATAGCAACTTTCTCTGCAAATCCTCTGCTCCCTATCTTTTCATTGGTTATTTTGGCAAGGGCTTACCAGACTGAGTAGAATAAAACTGCAGTGGGCAAGAAACCAATAACCGTTGCTGTGGTAACAATGCAGTGGCTGCTTCCTTCTGCTGTTCTCCAAACTTGGCTATATAGTAACAGAGAAACTATTCATTGTGCGGTCATTTGAGAAGCAAATTGCCTGGGATAGAGCAACCTAACATGGTTTAAAGCTTTTGGTACATGCTGTTTTGCACTCTACCAATATTAACCCTGATCTAGGCAACTGAAAAAGCAAAATGCCAACTGTTTTAAGTGGAACTTTACCCAGTAACAGCTTGATAAAAATACTGTTATTTAGCATGAAATATACATTCCACATTAATAATTTTGCTAACAAAGTTAGTGTGTGCTGTAAATCGCCTCCCACATTGCTCCTGTTTCTGCTTGCCAGAGGCTGCCACTTTGTGGAAGCCCAGAGCCCCTGAGCAGCAGTAAATCTTTAGGCTGTCAGCAGATTGCCCTCTACAAATTTGGCACAGTACCTAAAATAAAGAGAGCAACTAAGCATGTGCAGGGCAGGGTGAGACAGTGTATTACTTAATTGTAAACCGTGTAGGCACTTATTTTTAATGTTTTACATAGCTATACCAGCAAAATGGGTCGGCCTGAAGTGATCTAACTGGACCTTATTTTCTGACTAAAGTTCCACTTTAAGTATATCTAAATTGTCTTAAAGTAAACTGTTCACTTTCTGAATATGTATCTGCATTTTAGGAGTATTGTAGATTCCCAATAATGCTGGTTTTACATCTGTGTTGTGGAAACTCCTATTAATACATGGGTATGCATGCACTGCAGTGTGGTGGAATTCATTTTGAATGGCATCATAAGTCACATCCTGTGCTTTTTGGTGCACTGCATTTTCAAATTAATTCAGGTATGTTTTATGTGTGTTGGAGCATTTTACCATCCTATTAACAATTAATAGCTGCCTTAAGGCAATGCACCTCTAGGGCCCAGTGGCTGAACTAAACCAGCAGATTTAATACTCCCAGCACTTACTGACTGTAATGCAGGCTTATTTAGACCCTAAAATATTAGCTGTGTCGTCTCTGTTCATTTTACAAATTGCATTTTTAGTAAAGCAAAGCAGCAATTTTTATGTTTGGAAACGGATAGTGATGTCTTTCCTTTTACAGAAGTCATTGATATAGATATGGTATATTCCAGGGGTAATGCTGCAGGACACAATAGACATACAATTCAGCTAAGACCCCACAGGTGGCAATACGAGTCACTTCAGCTTTTCCTTACATTGTTTGTTTCTTGTCCTTGCTTGACAATGCAGCTCAGCCCCGGAGAGGAGGCCCAGCACAACTCGCCATGTCCTGTCTTTTGTCAGCAATGAACAGTTTTGGGTTCTTCTGAATGAATCCTGGTCATCGCTAATGGCAGCCGCTCTAGTTTTCATCAATTTAGTCACCACCAGTCTTCAGTCTCCGGAAACTGTGTGGCCTCCTGGTTTATGTGGAATGCTGTTTGGTTTTCTGAATAAAGCTATCCCTGGTACTGTGACTCTGACTTATCCTAAATTTTTATAAAAGAATACAGGAAGTAAAATTGAGTTTTAGTTTTAGCCTGATATAGATTGTGTATATTCAAAATAAAATTATAGAAGGTTGAATATTTTAGAAGGGGGAGGTCATAAATAAGTCCCATTGTAGTTTAAATAAGTAATAGTAAATATGGATGTTGGAGTTCAAGACAATGGCTGCTGCAATGGAAGGGTTGCTTGTAGGCAGTGAACGTCTTGATGATAACATCAAGTGTTTGACTTCCCTCTTCCTCTAAGTCTTTCCCCAAGGATACATATAGTTTGCACAGTGCCCCAAGCGGACTGGCTTTCCTTTACAGGGTGCTCTGGGGAGGAAGGCAGAGCTGTATTCTGAGCACAAAGAAACTACAGGCTTAGCCCCTCCTCTCTGGATTTCCCTGCAAAGGTGACAAGGGTGAAGTAGCGATCTGAGAAACCTGTGTGGCACTATGAGAGGATCTGAGTTAGGTTCTGATGCCCAAGCCAACAGTGTGAAGCTGTGGGAAAAAATTGGTGGAAGAGCTTTGGTAGAAAATACAGTTTTCTACCAAAACTGCATTTGCGTGAACCCAGCAGCAATCACTGCAGGTAATTGCTGGCTGTGCAGACAATAGCTGCGTCCACCAGCGACCTGTTGCCATAGTGAATGGGGACGGTGGCTGTATTTATCTGCTGAGAACTGCGGGCAGCCTCAGAAGAAACTGCTGCTACAATTTGCACTGGCCCTAATTGCCCTTGTGACTGTAGCCTAATATAATCCTCAACTTCTAAGCAGATTTCAGATTCTGAAATACAGCATTTTGGTCTCATCAGACCGGAGCACTATCTGCTACATGTTTGCTGTCCCCCACATGGCTTTTCGCAAACTTCAAACGGGACTTCTTATGGCTTTCTTTCAACAATGGCTTTCTTTTTTGCCACTCTTCCATAAAGGCCAGATTTGTGGAGCGCATGACTAATAGTTGTCCTGCACTGTGAGATATTCAAACTTTGGTTAATTTTTTATAACGTAACCCTGCTTTAAACGTCTCCACAACTTTGTCCCTGACCTGTCTGATGTGTTCCTTAGCCTTCATGATGCTGTTTGTTCACTAATGTTCTCTACAAAAAACCTCTGAGAGCTTCACAGAATAGCTGTATTTATACTGCGATTAAATTACACATAGTTGGATTCTATTTATGAATTACTTCAGTGACTTCTGAAGGCAACTAGTGCCACTACATTTTAGTTAGGGGTATCAGAGTAAAGGGAGCTGAATACACATGCAGGCCACACTTTTCATATATTTATTTGTAAAAAAAATTTGAAAACCATTTATCATATTCCTTCCACTTCATAATTATGTGCTACTTCGTGTTGGTCTATCACATAAAATCCCAATAAAATATAATTACTTTTTTTGTTGTAACATGACAAAATGTGGAAAATTTCAAGGGATATGAGTACTTTTTCAAGGCACTATATCTTCAAGGAAGGAAAAGGGGGGGGGGGGGGGGGGGGGGGGGGTTTCCTCTAGTCCTCAACTGCAGCATTCACTTACAGCTGCAAGCATCATCCTGGTATTGTTTTTTAGAGCCAGCGGTTGGCTCTTTGTAAAAGCAATCAGTTTCCTTAAGGGCCCATTCAGACATGTACAGTGGAAACATGCAACAAAATTTGTGTTACTGCAACCACGTGAACATGTCTGGTCTAGTGCAATGTGTTACAGTGCAGTTTATTGTGAATGGCACTCAAATGCACTGCAGTGCACCACAACTGTTTTGGAGAAAAGGGGTCATGTTCCTTTTCTTTTGGTCCATTGCATTGGGAGCATGCAGGGCTGCTGTTAGAAACCAAAGGACCCATACAGCTAACCTGACTGGGCCCCCCCCCAAAAAAAAAGTTTACTTTTCTTCAAAGGAGCGACTGGTAACATATTTCCCGGACCCTTCCCCCACTCTCCATCCTGAAGGATCCCTATTGTGTGCTTGCAGCTGACAGTGGGTAGGAGAGGATGGAACCTGGCAGCACTGCAGGGGTGGGGACACATATGAGCCTGGGAAGAAGGGGGAAACATATGGTGTACAGGGAGGGTGATCGGTGTGGCGAGGGGACACTTATTGGAACCAATCTCCTCTATGGCTCAGCAGCTGCCAAAAGTGGGAGGGAGAGGAGAAGAAGCCAGCTTTCAGCTGCTGCAGAAGAGACCCATACAGGGGATCAGTTCCAGTAATTGCCCCCACTGTTCTAAACAAACAAGATCGGCAACTGTTCACCCATGACTTGGATAGGTAATTCAGATGTTGGTGCCTTGCCAACTTGTAGTGAAGTCTAAGAGTACTGGCTACTAGTGAGGAGTGAAGGCGTCCTCCAAACTTAAGCTTTAACTTTTTTGTACTCCAATGAGCTTAGAGGAAGTTCAGAGGACACCTAAGTTCATCCCTACTGGCCACACATGTTAGAGCCTAATTGTATAATCACCTTTAGGGGTTAAAAAAAAAAACGAAGTTGTGTAAGAGCCCAACTAAACAATCCATTTAAAGTGGTATTAAACACAAAAGCAAACCTTTATTAATATTGCAGCATATCAATTCTTAGATGTAGTTGTAGTGTTACCCTCATAAGGACCACTGTATTGTGGGTAGCCTGA